TTGGTTAATCTTGATTTTTTTTTTCCCCTGAGAGTTCATGGCCAGTGTCCTGTGGTATTGCTTAATTGTCTTGCCTTGTTTTTCATTTTGAACTCATTTCAGTATTTTCAGATACTCAGATATCATATGTACTCTGCAGTTGACCACTTCCTTTTCTTGCACCTTTGCTGGTCCAACTCTGTTACCAACCTTGCTCTGGCAGGCAGTTGAGATGGAGACTCCTGGTCTCCCGATGAGGCTAAGTGAAGATAAGTGCAAATTACGAGAAATCTGTTCTCAAGAGCTGAGTCTGCGTAAACATACTTGTGGGAGAATGCCTGGATGAACACTGTTTAATTGTTTCTGCTGAGGCCTACACACAGTTACCTCTATCAGCAGCCACATAAAATTGTTTCCGAATCATCCACTCAAATTTCCAAAGAGACAGAGAACCCAAAGTGCTGTTTGATGGCCAAAAGCATTCAGATAAAATAGTTTAATAGTGAAGTGTCTAGATTCACAAAATGGGACATATTAAAAACTAGAAGTTGCACTGAGTCAAATGATGTCCCAAGCTTGATTCTATTCCTCTGATTTAGGCAGTTTTTAGAGGGGTAACAGATTTGGGTGGGACCTGTACGGTAACTTAGCTAAGCCTCTTGCCTGTGGTGCCAGTGTCCTATATAGGCACCGACTGGAGTTCTGGCTGCTCCACCTCAAATTCAGCTCCCTACTAATGTTCTGGGAAAGCAGAGGATGGTACAGGTCCTCGGAGAGGAGAGCTAGCCGGCCAGTCGGCAGTCAGTCCTTGCGGAGCCCGGTGCGAGGGCCGCAGCCTCGCCGGCCTGTCTCCAAGGAGCTCACAGGCAGGCTGTCTCCTCCCGCAGCCGGCAGCCCTGAGGGAAAGGACGAGCTCCGCACCCGGGGCCCGCCCACGAGCCCGCCCGCCTGCGCGCATTGGTCGCCTCGAGGCCCACGTCCCGCCCTCCTGCGCGCATTGGTCCCCTCGAGGCCCACGTCCCGCCCTCCTGCGCGCATTGGTCGCCTCGAGGCCCACGTCCCGCCCCTAGATTTGAAAGCTTCGGGAGCGAGCCGCCTGGGGGAAGCCCTGCCCACTCCGGCGTGCAGTGCGCTGCTCGGGCCCGCCCATTCTCTGACTGTAGCATCGCGCTGGTGTTTACGGTTCTGTCTGCTCTGGTGATGATAGAAGGTGAAGTGATACGCGGTCGAGGCTGGGGAACGAGGGGGCAGCGACTGGGTCAGGTACCGGGCCTGGGGTGAGGGAACGGCCGTGTGTCAGGAACTCGGTTGAGAACGGCTCGGCGAGAATCAAGCCATTTCACTTGGGTGATCTCCACCCTGAGTGGCACATAAGGGTTCGCCTCATCTTCTTAGGCCTCAGTGTCCTCCTGGTGCCCACTTGGGACCCTTGTCTGGATTGAATGGTCTCGTGCCACCCTGTTGGCACGCAGGGGGACTGTGGCCAGTTACGAATGACAGTGCTGTCGTTGTTGTTGTTGGCGAGGCGCTGGTGCCCGGCCTACTTCCCTCAGCTGAGCAGTGTGCCTGAGCTGGCCGCTTTCTCGTCCTGATTGATGGCCATGGGATCCTGGCAGGGCTTGGTGCCAGGCGCAGGGGCTGGGTTCCCATGTGGCAGGGCTTGGTGCCAGGCGCAGGGGGTGGGTCCGTGTGCCCGTGATCACGGGAGCCCTTCAGGGTAGGCTACACCCCGCCTCTTCCTAGTCCTGTTTCTTGGCTGCCTCCTTGGTAACCGACTCGTTGGACACACGTTGTTGCCCTATGAGTTGTCTTTTGAAGTCTCTGCTTAAGCTTCATTGAGCTTTGTTGAGAAGGGAGCATGCTTAGGCAGTTTATCCAGGAGTAGCGTGGCAGCATGCATATGATGTGTTCCATTTCCTAGACCCCACGTTCCAAGGTACCAAGCGATAAAATGTTAATATATGATATAATTAATATTATAATATGTAGTATTATTGCAGTATAGAATTAACATACATTTTTTGAGGTTACATATTGCGCACCACATTCAGAAGCCCCATTCAAGGGCAGACTCTGGTTTTTCATTCAAGTCTTCAGTCACAGGAGCTTGCGGGAGAGAAGCTGGAGTTTTACAGTCATGAGACTGTTCTTTCCAATGAGAAATGAGATCTTGAATCCTGCTGGCACTTGAGTAGGATCTTTTTTTTTTTTTCCTTCCTGCAAAGGAATTTTGTGGGGTTTTTTTGTTTGTTTGTTTGTTTGTTTTTTAACCATTTTTTCTCTGCTGGACAGAGAATCTTTGTCTTGTAAGCCTGTGACTTTGTTGTAAAGTCCTGTCTTAAGGTGTCATCCAGTCAGAAAGGCCACTCACCTAAGCCTTCTGAGATGTAAGAAATGACACATATCTGAGCAGTTTTAGATATATTAGGGAGTTGTTTATTCAATGAAAATGAGCATGTGAACAAATACAAACTGCCTTATTACAGCATTTTTGGGGGAGACAGAACTATTTTTAACGAACATTTTGTCAGTACCTTAAAATCAGCACCATTCGTGGAAGCCAGAGTCGAGGTTACCTTCCGTGTTGCAGGTGTTTGCAGGAAGTACACAATGTGAACTAGTGAGTTAGTACTCTCATGCTTTTGGCAAACTTTTCTCCTGTGTTTCACAGCAGTGATTAGTCTTCACTATACTGAAATTTTTTTTTTGAATGGCACAGTGACAGAAAGAGAAAGATCTTTCATTTCTTTTGGTTTGCTTTCCAACTGCCCATGATAGCCAGGCTGGAACTAAGAGCTAGGAACTCTGTCTGGTTCTGCTAGAAGAGAGGCAGGAATCCAAGAACTAGAATGTGGCATATGGGCTTACCAAGAAGCTGCTTAACTCCACGATGCCACAGTATCTGCTACTGTGCCACTTTTATTAATTTTCACCCATACATAGACTGTTCTTGGAACAGTCTATCAATAGTTTAAGCATGAAAGATATAAAACCTGTTGAATTATATAGTTGGTTTTGTTGTTTACGTGGGCCTTGTCAAAAGCAAATGTGTGGCTTCTTTAGCCTGATTTATTATTCAGGAGGAAAACCAGCGGTGCTGTGACAGTTTGATAATTTCAGGGGTCAAGCAGAAATGTGGGGTTGTGTGGCGGTGGTGAACAACAAGCTTTATTTGGACAGTGGTTTGACAGAATTACCTGCTGCGGCAGCCCCTCGTTGTCGGCCTTGCCTTAGGAGTGGTTAGGGGCTTCCATCTAAGGGGATCAGAGGCAGAGAAAATTAAGAGAGAAGGAGAAAAACTAATGAAGAACTTATTTGTCTAAGTGGCATTGCTCCTCTTCCTAATGCTTGGTGGCTTCCGGGTCATATACCTTGGAAAGCCTGCAGTAGCCTGAGGTCCTGCTTGTCCCAGGTGTTCTTTGTGCTTAGCAGGTGTTGAATGTAGTTTCATGGGATGTGCATGTCAGGTTGACTCTAAATGGCTAATGCGTCTCTGGGCTGTATTTAAAGCAAATGGATGGATGTATATTTAAATTTGGTGCTGCAATGCAGTTTCTGCCCCCTCTGCCCAATAACTTTGCAACAGATTTTTAGTTTTGCTATAGGTTATACATCTGTAACTGGTGTTTTCTTTTCTTTTTTTTTTTCCTTTTTAAAGATTTATGTATTTTTATTGAAAAGGCAGAGAGACAGAAAGATCGTCCATCCACTGGTTCACACTCCAATTGGCCTCAACAGCTAGAGCTGAGCTGATCTGAAGCCAGAAGCCTCTTCTGGGTCTCCCACATGAGTGCAGGGTCTCAAAACTTTGGGCTATCCTCCACTGCGCTCTCAGGTCACAAAGAGGGAGCTGGGTAGGAGTTGGAGCAGCTGGGACATGAACCAGTACCAATATGGAATCTTGGAACTTGATGGTAGATTAGCCGATTGATCCATGTAACAGTGTTTGAAGCCTAAAGAAAGAACTTTTCTCTTAAAATTTGACTGTGTGTATACTGTTATTTGTCTGGGTTCAGCACACTCAATGCCACAGTTTCTTGGACTGTCTGTGCTGACATCACCAAGCTTTGTCTACCTAACAGACTTTTGAACTAGTTCCTGAAGCCAGGAATCCCAGTTTGAGAGCTGCTGTTCTGGATGTCTTATCGTCTTGTTAAAGGGCAGCGCACTGAGTGCTCGCCTTCTCCTTGGTGTTTGGCACCTGGTAGAGTCTCTGTGAATTTTTTGAGTATTAATATATCTTAGTAAGATCACCCTTCAGCTTCCCTTTACATTTAATCTGATGTTTCATTCACTTATAGTAGTTCACTGAGGCATTATTTCATATTTTACTTTTTAAATTGAAAGTAATATTCTAGGTAACTGAGTTCCAATGCAAAGACAAAGTCTAGACCTTATCAGTGTTTGCAAGATGCTAAGTAATTAAAACGACACAGAGGGCCCTGTGTGGTAGCCTAGCAGTTCAAGTCCTCGCCTTGAACATGCTGGGATCCCATATGGGCACCGGATTCTAATCCTGGCAGCGCCACTTCCCATCCAGCTCCCTGCTTGTGGCCTGGGAAAGCAGTCAAGGACGACCCAAAGCCTTGGGACCCTGCACCCGTGTGGGAGATCTGGAGGAAGTTCCTGGCTGTTGGCATTAGATCCGTGCAGCACCAGCTGTTGCGCTCACTTGGGGAGTGAATCAATGGGAAGAAGAGCTTCCTCTCTGTCTCTCTTCCTCTCTATATCTGACTTTCCAATAAAAATAAATGAATCTTAAAAGACACAGAGTTTAACTTTATTCTTTCATCTTCCTACTACTTACTCTCTGAGAAGATGTCAGGGAAGATGGGATTATTTTATGCTGCCTTACTTCACAGATGACCTTTACTGACCAAATCTTGTTGGATGAATCTGTTCAACGTTTGAGTCTGATAAAAAGTATTAGGCCGTGTCTAGTATTATTAGACTCAGAATCCATAAATGTAGTGTGATTTTTTTTTTTTCTCTTTTCCATAGGTCATTGTAATGTCAATAAAGTAGACTAAGATTCTCCCTGCCTGAAATCTGGTTGTTTGAAATGGAGTGAAGTAGTAGGCTGAACACTTAGGCTTTTTAAAGTTAGAGTGGCTTACATTGTTATTTATTAAAGTTGTCTTAAAAAATATGGTTATTCTTACAGAATGGAGTCTAATTTGAATCAAGATGGAGTGCCTAGGCCATCTTATGTTTTTAGTGCTGACTCAATTGCAAGACCTTCAGAAATAAATTTTGATGGTATCAAGCTTGATCTCTCTCATGAGTTTTCCTTAGTTGCTTCAAAGACTGAGGTAAGTGTAAGAAAAGTATTGTGAAGATTATTTGATTGAATGGAAATGTGTATGTGTAGGTACATTTTTTACTGTACCTAGAAGAGATACCCAAACTCTCTGGGGCAGTGATGTATCAGTAACTTTCTTATGGAAGCTGTGAGCTGCAAAAATTATTAGGCATCCCTTTTCAAGTCTTAACAACTTAGTAAGTATCTTTGCCTTAACCTAGTAGCCAGTTTAGGCAAATAATATGAAAAGAAAATTTTTGAATATTTTACCCTTTCATGACCCTCTAGCAATGTTATTGATGAGATAGGTGCTTATTGGGCATTCTACAACTTCTTAAACCTTGGAATCCAACTAGACTTCAACCACCCTCATTTGCTGATTTTCACTGTTTTGAAATAGTGCTAAGCTTGTTTATCATGGGCAGTCACTGAAAGATGCCGTTATCACATATATGACCAAACCAAGAGGGAAATATGATATAAAGTGGAACTGTACCTGCTTAGCCATTCGTGATTACCGGCATGGCAAGCACTGCTGTGATTCCCTTCAAAATGTGAACTATGGGGGATGTCAAAGTTCGTAGGAAAATGGAATTAAAGATGAGGTTCATTTTAGTTCAATAGCATTTTGAAATTTATGCATAGTTTTTTCAAAAAATCTGTCTTCTACACAGGTGCTTCTGTATTCTGCCCTGCCCCCAGGAGTTATGTCCCTTAATTTTCACAACAATAGAGATTTTAACAAATTATGTAACTCAGTAGTATTTAAACTAAGAGGTCGAGTCCTTCTGCTGTCTTACCTAGCTTATGGACATTCTTGAATATCTACTTTAAATGACTTTATATTGTATTTATTACATTTTAAGTTATTAATTTTGATTTCTTAAATATGAACTTACTCTTTTTTAACATTTATTATTTATTTCTCCTTGAAATTCAAGAGTTACAAAGAGAGAGGGAGAGAGAGATTTTTAATCTGCTGGTTCATTCTCCAGATGGCTTCAGTTGCCAAAGCTGAGCTGATCTGAAGCTGGGAGCCAGGAGCTCCTTCCGGTTCTCGTATGTGGATGCAGAAACTCAACGCTTAAGGTCCACCTCTGCTGCTTCCCCAGGCCATTAGCAGGGAGCTGGATTGGAAGTGGAGCAGTCAGAACTCGAACCTGTGCCCATATGGGATGTTGAATTAGCCTGCTATACTACTTTGCTAGCCCCTTGAACTGACCCATTTTATAGAGTAGCACAATGGAAGTTAAGACACACAGATAAAAGAATAATACTGGGCCCAGCACAGTAGCCTAGCGGTTAAAGTCCTTGCCTTGCACATACCAGGATCTCATGTGGACACCAGATCGTGTCCCAGCTGACCCACTTCCCATCCAGCTCCCTCCTTGTGGCCTGGGAAAGCAGTTGAGTACAGCCTACAGCCTTGGGACCCTGCACCTGTGTTGGAGACCTGGAAGAGGCTCCTGACTCCTGGCTTCGGATTTGCTCAGCTCTGGCCTTTGCTGTCGCTCTGTTTATCTGACTTTCCAATAAATATAAAATAAATCTTTAAAAAAAGAAAAATACTTATTTAGTATTTGTGATGTTTCAGGTTTAAGTATTTTGACACTTTAACTTATTTGCCATAAATGAATATAAAGCAGAGGAAAGGAACTCTGTAACATGTGCTTTTAGTATATAATTGAAACTATTTATTACATACTTGCTTGTGTCTGCCTTCATTCATTTAACAGAATGATTTGCAAATAATTACCTCTCTTTTTAGTGCTTATTTTTTGAATTCGTTCACAAGCTAGGAATGGTTTTTACATTTTTAAATAGTTGTGGATAAAAGAATGTTTAATGATTTGAAAATTATATGACACTTACCTGCCTATAATTAAAGTTCTGTTGTGTCATGCTATGTCGTCGTCTCGCAGCGATGGACTTGGTGCACGGAGCCGATAATAACACGCATGGACCCTGACAGATGCTCAAACCCGAAGTTTATTAGTGGCATCAGACTTTATACACTGAGAGTCATATGGGCTAAGGGAGGAAGTATTGAGCTCATCAACAAAATCCAGTAACAGTTTTATGTTTTTGTTTGGAACTCCTTTTGTCTTGTATATTGCACCAAGTGTTCTCACACACATACTGCCCATTCAACTGTTCTTATACAAATGATATCCAATCAGGTATACAAAAGGTAGCCAATCAGTTGTTCTCATGCAAATATTATCCAATCAGCTGTAATCCTGTGCTTGCTGACCCTCTAGGGTCACAATGTCCTCCTACAAAGCTAAACTCACTGGTGTACATATTTTCTGTATTTTGCACTGTATTGTTCAATAGTTGTGGCAGAGGCTATCGGGTCTATAGAGCCTAAAATATTAATGATCTGTTTTTGGGTCATCATACATGGTAGGTTAGTAGTTTGTTGCTTTTGTCTTTCTTTGTAATAGTTCTTGTGCGTAAGTGCCACGTTTGCATTTAGGATTCATTGACACTTAGGTGGTTTTGGTTTTGGACCATTACAAATAACGTTGCTTTAAGCATTCTTTGGCAGGCCTCTCTGTGGACCTAGGCATTCACTTTGTCTTAAATACTTTGAGCAAAAATTAGGCAGAGATTTTGTTTTTTTTCCCCCCATGGTTCTATCTGGGAGTCATCATAGAATGTTTATGTGAGTTGATAGATGAGCCCAGGGATCTAGGTTGCTATTCTTTTTTTTCGGTTTTTTTTTTTCAGGTTTTGAACACTCATCTGTTTTGGTATCACTTACATATACTGTAAAAGCTTTCATTTCCTCATTAAGTTGTTTGTAAAGATTATTTATTTGAAAGGTAGAGTTACAGAGGAAGAAAGAGAGACAGAGAGAGAAAGGTCTTCAATTTTCTAACCTATTCCCCAGTATTGGGTCAGGCAGGAGCCAGGAGTCTGAAGTTTCATCTGGGTTCCCGTGTGTGTGTAGGAGCCCAGTTACCTCTGCCATCCTCTGCTGCTTTAGCAGGGAGCTGGATTGGAAATAGAGCAGATGGGACTTGAATCGCTGTCCGTGTGGGATGTTGGCATTGCAGACCATAGCTTCACCCACTATGCCAAAATGCCAGCCCTTCATTAAGTTGTTTGGATGACTTTGTTAACAGTGTCGACTACATTTTTGGTTTAAAATACGTTTGTGATGCCTGTATTCTGCATTGGAGTACACAGGATTGAGTCCTTGCTCCATGGCTGATTCCAGCTCCCTGCTAATGTGCGGCAGAAGTGGCTTACATACTTGGTTCTTTGCCACCCATATCTGAGATCCAGATAGAGTTTCTGTTTCCTGACTTTGGCCTAATTCTGCCCTGACTGTTGTGAGGTTGTTTTGGCTGTGAACCAGCAAATGCAAAATTCTCTCATTCTCTTTCTGTCACTCTGCTTTTTAAATAAATAAAACACAAAATATTGTTCTTTTTTTTTTCAAGGTAAACAACTTGGAATCAAAAGATTATCTCCAGGTTTGTCTTCGAATAAGACCATTCACACAGTCAGAGAAAGAACATGAATCAGAGGTTTGTATTACATTTTTTTTTTTTTTTTTTTCCGCTAGGGAAAAGGGGAGACACTGCTCTTTTTTTGGTCAAACTACATTTTTAAAATTTTATTGGAAAGTCAGATTTACAGAGAGAAGGAGAAACAGATAGAAAGATCTTCCTTTTACTGGCTCACTTCCTAAATGGCCACCATGGCTGGAGCTGAGCTGATCTGAAGCCAGGAGTTTCTTCTGGGTCTTCCACATGGTGCAGGGTCCTAAGAACTTGGGCCATCCTTTTTTGCTTTCCCAGGCCACAAGCAGGGAGTTGGGAGGGAAGTAGAACAGCTGGGGCGAGAACTGGCACTCATATGGAATCCCAATGAATGTGAGGTGAGGATTTAGCCACTGAGACATCATGCTGGGCCCACTTGAGTGCCTTTGATAATTCTGGAACATTTCGGCTTTGCTGCATGAGGATTGAGTGCCAGAGGCCAGCTCTTGCTGAGTCTGGACCTCAAGACGGTGTGTGGATACAGCGAGGAAAAGAGACAGGACAGTCACTTGATGTCCTCTACTGACAGCTCAAGAAGCTCGTTTTGATTCTATCAGACACATCACAAACTTCTGCCCAAACGTTTGATTGTTCTATTTTTAACCTCATGAGTAAGCTGGCATACACAGATGTTCAACTAATTAATTTTTTCTTCATGGTAGACCAGGTGCTCTTAAAGATAATTCTATAAGGTACTATAATCATTTTTCTTCAAAGGAAACCATTATTAATTCTTTAGTAGTAGCCACTGGGCAGCAGGCAGGACTGCAAGGCCAGGGCACATGCAATTAGATCTTAATCAGTAATACACTCCTACTACATTGCTATTGCTACAACTTGTCTATCATTTAATGGGAGAAATACATCAAAAGGGAAAAAACCATAACAGTGCCAAGACAAAAGTTTCAAACATTAAATCTCTCTACAACTATAGACTCTATAACCCTATAAACAGTCAAACAATGATTAAAATCATATCTGTAATATTAATGGAAATACCCTAGAATTCCTCTAGCCAAAAAATTATAAAAGTGACTGAAACAGATACATTTTCTGTGATCCAAAGATTTGCAAGGACAGGCTAGCCTTTGAGGTCACAGTAACTATGTTTATTGTCATAGTAGTTTCAACTCATGCTCCCATCGCTTTCTTTAATTTTTGAGATTCTTACCAAGCCGTTTCTCAGAAAGCGTGATACATGTCTGGGCCAGATTTTGGGACAAAATAAGGTGTCCAGAAATAGCATGGACTTAATTGTACTCCTGTGTGCAAATTGTTAAAGGCCCACTCGCCAAGACATTATCAGCAACATTAACTCCCAAAGCTCACATTGGCTGCAAAAGCCATCTCACAAGGGCGAACAACACTGCCTTAGTAGATTACAGAATTCTTAGCAGGGTGGTTGAATGTCCATGCAAAGGGGATAAAACTGTGTCGAGGTGGTTAGAGAAACATCCGCCAGGCCTTGCCATACAGCTGGAAGCCTTGCCAACAGGGGAGCTATTCTCCTTACACCTTCATGTCATCTACACACACTGCATGGACCCCAGCATTTGAGGAAAATTCAGGGTCTATTGGTTGGCTCAAAGCTTTACTGTGAAGGCTGTCCAACCTGTTCTGCTTTCCATCCATTCTCTGATGAAACACTGTCTTCTGCTGGCTAGATGAGCTGGCTGTCATGTCCCCATATGTGCATCTGGTCATGCTGTCCATTGCATAGACATCAGTAGCTGAGGAGGCCCAGTAGTAATATGTGCACTCCAAGATCAGACTGTATTACTTGTGATTCTCCCTGTGGTTGGTTTTGAGTCCAGCAATCTAGTTGGGGTGTGCCTCAAGAAATGTTGCTTGGGATGACCTCAGACTTGACTCTTGTGTGTGTCACCCAGTGCAGGATAAGGTGTGGTATATCACCTGCAGCAGCCAGTGCACATATGGGTGGATGCCACAAGTCTGATCTTCATGTACTCTAGCAGGTGCCATGACCTAGTCAGGTAATCTCCAATAACCCTCACCAGGCCAACAGGTCTTGAAGTTTAACAAGGTAGTCTCTGCAGTTCCCCCACTAAGCTGCTCTCAATCCGAGATGTTATGTGTGCTAGTGAGTGCTTTGACTCAGCTTGATGTGGCTTATTCTGAGCTTTCACTGGCCAGTGTTGCAGCCCACATCCCATCCTATCTCTTGTGCATGTCAGCTGATTCTCTGATCTGACCCAGCCTAGTCTGCCCCAGATCTCGCCCAGTCCTGTTGGTGAGCATGAGAGCCAGAGCTGGGGGTACGCCATGCTGGACAAGGCTGTAGTACCCTTTGGCATATGCGTAAGACAGGTCTGGGGAACCCATCAGGCTGAGATAATCCACAGTGCCCACTGGTTTGCCTAAGAGCTGGATGAGATATGGAGCATGCCAAGCTAGGCTGCAGCACAATCCAACAGAGGCAAAAACCAGGGCTGGGGGCAGGCCTGGTGAGAGTTATTGGAGGTTACCTGACTAGGTCATGGCACCTGCTAGAGTACATGAAGTACTGCCTTACCTTGCTAGCCTATCCCCAGTGCTCCCTAGTGGGAGCTATGTGCTAACAAGGGAGTACCCCAAGTCCTCTACGAGACCTATTCCTATCCCCACATCTCATGTGTGTTGGTGAGTGCCTTGGTTCTGTTTGGCATGGTTTCCATCAGACCTGGCTTTTGTATGTACTGGCAGGTATTATGCCCTGGCCAAGCTTAGCCTCCTGCCAGCTCCAGCTCCCACAGGTGTCCCCTTGAGTTCTACCCTTAAGCCTCGCCTGCCCTGTCACCACCCCCAGCTGTCACACAAACCAGCAGATGCTGCAGTTGCAGAGGTGAGCCCACAAACCTACAGAATTTGCTCCCAGATCTGCTTCTCTCACATTCTGATGGATGCTGCAGCTCAGTCTGACATGGCCCACCCCCTGCCCTGACACTCATAGGTGGGTGGCCTATTCCTGCCAGGCATGCTGCCTAGCCCCAGCTTTCATTTGCTGCTGTGGGTGGCGAGTGATGCTATTTAGTCTGGCCCAGGTATCCCATTTGGGCGGTTGTCTTGTCTGGCCCCAACATACCTCCAGTTTTTCCACTCTGAATCACTCTGTGTCGGTTCCCTCACCTACCTGCAAGTGCAGTGGCCTAGTCGGTGGAAGTCCCTAGAAGTCATTGCTTCCCTGTTGAACATACCCTCAGCTGTTCCCAATCAAATAAATCACCAGATATTTTTTCCTAGAAAATCTATCACCCCTGCTGCATGGCGCTGTGACTAGGGGCCCTGTATCCCCCATGTTTCTTAAAAACAAAACAAAACAATAAAACAAACAAAAAAGAAACAGAATAGGCAACTATGCTAGCACAGTGGTGTCATTGACAGAATCTTGGCATTGACCAGTCCCAGAATGCCAACCAGCTATTGACTGTTCTTCTCCCAGATTTGTAACACTTGCCTAGGTATAAGACAACCTAGGAATTTGTTTACAGCTGGAATGTTTGTGTTACATTTAATTGAACTTTAATTTACTTTTTAAACATGTAAAATGCCATTGTTCTTATTTATGGTTGTGATGTGTTCTAGGGCTGTGTGCAAATTCTGGATTCACACAGTGTTCTCTTGAAAGAGCCTCAAAGCATCCTAGGTCACTTAAGTGAAAAAAGCTCTGGGCTGATGGCACAGAAATTCAGTTTTTCCAAGGTAAGTGCCTCTGTGAAACTCAACTTTTGCTTTATTATTTTAAAAGGAAAGAGATTTGTGTCTACCTTGTACGAGAAGGGCTGTTATGAAGTTCTGGGAAGAGTTTTAGGAATTCTACACTCAGGAAAACCCAATGAGGCTCCTAGACAGAGATGAGGGAGAAGACCCATAACCAAATTCGAACTCCAAGTTGGATGTAGACTGTAGACCAGGCTCTTTCTTATGATGATTGCCTGGTCTGTCAGGAGTAGTCTTCATTGTTTCTTGTAATTCAACTTTGGTTCAATATTCAAAACAAAAAGGGTGGTGAGAGACTTTGCTTATGTCGAATTCCTATATAAATATATATAATGAATCCTGTTTATGCAGCTTAGATCTTAGTTACTGGTATTTTTTCGTAAAAAGTAGGTCTGAAATTTCTGGTCTGAGGTAATAGAATCGAAAGGGAACAAATCATTTTACTGCTCTTAAAACTCCATTTTTAAAAAGAGATTTATTCACATGAAAATCAGTTTTAGAAACACGAAAAAGAGAGAGATGACCTTTGTTCTGTTGGCACATTTTCAAAATGATTTTAATAGCCTGAACCAACCTGGAACTAGGAGCCAGAAAAATCAATCTGGTTTTCTCACATGGTTGGCAGAGGCCCCAGCACTTGGGTCATCTTCCGACGCTTTTTTCAGGTACAATAATAACGAGTGGGACAGGAAGCAGAGCAGCTGGGACTTGAAGTGCCTGATGGGGATTGCTGGTATTACAGATGGTATATTAATTTGCTGTGCCAGAATGGTACCACTTTAACTACCCCTCAGCTAAATGTCCTTTTCAAGATTAAGATGAAAACTTGCTTTGCTGTTTGGGTCATATTTTTATCTTGAACATATTCTGATGTTTGAGAGTAGATATGTGGCACCTGTTTTAAGAATGAATCTGATAAAAACAAATTTTTGAAAGATGAGCAACAGAGTAGGTCTTACTAGATCTTACAATGAACTTGATTTAAAAATCAACTTGATTTAAAAAATGCATTTACTTATTTTTATTGTAAAGGCAAATTTTACAGAGTGAAGCAGAGACAGAGAAAAGTCTTCTGGTTCACTACCCAAATGGCTGCCACAGCCAGAGCTTGAACCGGTCTAAAGCCAGTAATCAGAAGCTTCCAGATTTTACATACAGGTGCAGTGTTCCAAACACTTGAGCTATCCTCCACTATTCCAGGACAGAATCAAGGAGCTGGATGGGAAGTGGGGCAGCCGGGATAAGAACTGGTGCCCATATGGGATGCCACGCTTAGAGGTGGAAGACCTCTAGTTTAGGCGTTGTGCCAGCCCTACACCAATTTGGATTTTGTAAAATGACCTGTCTTACAAATTCTTTCTTAGGTTTTTGGCCCAGAAACTACACAGTTGAGAACAGAATAAACAAATGGGACCTCATCAAACTAAGAAGCTTCTGTACAGCAAGGGAAACAATCAACAAAGTAAAAAAGCAACCCACAGAGTGGGAGAAGATCTTTGCACACGATATAGGCGATAGGGGGCTAATTTCCAGGATATACAAAGAACTTCAAAACAACCAAAAAACCAAAAAAACAAGCCACTCAAGAAATGGGCACGGGAAATGGGCAAACAATCCCCAGCGCCTATAAAACTGTACTACATAATACAATGTAAGCAACAATAAAAAAAAAAAAATAGTCTGCCAGGAATGAAAACTGGAAAAATTCCTTAAAATTAAACACTCAGAGGAAAAAAAAAAAGACAAAATATACAGTACAATTAAGCTCATAAAATTAGCCACAGAGTCATCATTGAGATGTAGCAAGTTAAGCTTTGTCGGTGTTGCAAGTGGTGGTTTATCAGACTCAGTTCTAACCCCAGGTGCTCTGCTTCCAACACAGCCTGCTGCTAACACACACGGCAAGAAAGCAGAGGATGGCCTACATGCTTGAACCCCTGCTGGCCACACAGAAACTTGGTGTTCTAAGTTCCTGGCTTCAGCTGGACCAGCCCCAGCCACTGTGGTCATCTGAAGAGTTCACTAGCAAGTTAAAAGCATGTTTTTTCTTATTTGACATTCTGTCAATATGTACATAAACAAATATTAGAAACAAAGAAAAAAAGAAAACAGAATGGTTTCCAAAGTATTGAAAAATCCCATTATGGGAGAACAGTAACACTTCATAGCTCAAAAACTTGGACAATAACCAAGTAGCATAATAAAGTGACTTAGTGACTTTAATGATACAAAGCATTTCCTTGACTAAGAATCCAAACAATGATATTCAAGTAAACACAATAGCAAACTAGGTCCTTTTATATTTGCTTGCTAAACACATCAAACCACTTTCCACAACATACTTCTCTTATTCTTTTGATATTAAAAAGGAATATGCAAATTTTCATATCCCTGCTGGCTTTCCTACAGATGTCCCAAACTCTATAAGGCAATTCATTAGTTTACCTTTTATGAAAGAATAGCCCTTTACATCTTGGGAGAGGCACAGCATCTTTCTCTTTTGGAACTTCGATGATACAGGAGCAAACAAATCATAAATACATTCATTGTAAATCTCAAAGAAAAACCCATACAGAAAATTTTATATTATCCGTATTCAAGCTAGATGGTTCACAATCTTTCAGGGATTCTTCGAGCTCTGGAATATTCATAGAGTTGGTGAAGCTTCCTACCAAAAATAGAAAAAAAAAAGGATAATAAAAAATTCAGTTAACTAAAAATGAGAGAAACGTTCAACTGAAGACAAATAGACAAATCAAATATATTTAATCCTATTATATCTATATCAAGCAATTTTAGAAATAAAACAAAATGTAAATCACACATGGATTAAGCAAAGTTTGCCTTTTTGTCCTTTTATTTAGAAACATGCTAATAAACCAAAAGAATGAACAGGTATCCCTCTTGAATTCAATTATTAAAATTACAAGCAGTAGGGACGGGCTCAGTGGTATAGCAAGCTAAGACTCCATCTGTGGCACTGGCATCCCTTACAGGTGCAAATTCATGTCAAACCTGCTCCACATCCAACCTAGCTTCTACCTTACTGCCTGGGAGAGCAACCAATATGGCCCAAGTCCTTGGGCCCCTGTGTCCAAATGCAGACTGGGAAGCAGCTCCTGGTTCTCAACTTTGAACCAGCCCAGCCAGGGCCATGGCAGCCATCTGGGGAGTGATTCAAAGGATGACACATCTGCCTCTCTCGGTCTCTCCTTCTCTCTATAGCTCTGACTGTAACTCTCTTCTGTCTGTAACAAATATTTTTAAAATAAATAAGTTATGAGCATTAAATGGATATTTGTGCAATTTAATACAAACAAGACTGATATTTCTAGATATTATTATGAAGTCAAAGAAATTTGTGCAGATAATGCTATAATGCACTACTTCTCTTTAAAAAAAAAAAAACCAACAGAATAGGATTCTGAATGTTTTTCCAATAAAGAAATTTTAGATACTTGAGAAGATATTGGACCATAACTGTGTAACTTACACAATGCACACATATATTAAAATATCACCTAACACCCAACACACACATATAATTTTTGTTAAAAAAAACTAATATTAAAAAAAGAAATCACTCCTAGTAGCCTTTAAAATTAAAATTTAAAACTAAATTTTAAAATTAAAAACTAAGTTTTAAAATTAAAAGTTGCTATATAAATAGTAAAAAATTACAATTTTTTAATTAAAAATTTTAAAATAAAAAGCTGGAGAAGGCGCTCAGCTTAGCAATTCTGCTGGTTGAAACATTGGTGTCCCATATTAAAGTGAACTGGATTCAACTCCTAATTCCACATTTTTGCTGATACAGAGCCTGGAAAGCAGTATTGGACCAAGTGGTAAGTCTCGGCCACCCATCTTTGAAATCTGGATTGAGTTCCTAACCCATGGCTTGGCACAGTCCCAAGCTACTGCAAGCATCTAGACACTAAAAAAGATGTCTTCCTCTCTGTATCTCCTTTTCTACACATTTGCCTTTACAATAAAAATAAATAAATCAAAAAATAAACCAAACCAAAAAAAAAAAAAAAAGATGGAAGAAAACCCACTCTGTCAACCTCTTAGAAAATAAATTCACACTAAAAACTTTTGAAATGTATTTCATTTGATCAACAAATGAAAACCAGGAAAGACCAGAAACCTTACCATGAAGGGTATCATCATTGTCACTAAGTGTAACAACCTAAAAAAGAAAGTTTTTAGAGGTTAAAAATCACGTTTAGATATGAATTACCTACTCACATTCATCATCAACCAAATTTCAATTCAAGATCCCCTAAACACCTGACCTTCATTCATTAAACTGTTTTTAGTTTAATACAATCTTGTGGAAGGAAATCCAGAAAAAAACTAACCCGAGTTAATTTAATAGGCAATCGTAGCCCGTCAGAAGCAATTATCACAGTATCTCACCGTCTCCCCCATCTGTTCTTTCCCTACACTTATGATAAGGCTTTTCTCACTAAAATTAAAAATTATAAATATTTGAGGTCTATGGAACATTATTCCATTATTAAACATTTGCATTATTTGCAAATCTTGCCAGAAATAAACACTAGAATAAGCGTTTTATATATTTCCTACTTCATTCTAATTATTCCCTTGGTTTACACAACTAAAATTGAACTGGCAGATGAAAAGATCAAAAATCTAAAGCTCTCACAATTTACCAAAGTATTGCCAAAATGTTTTCTAGAAATACTTTATAATCAATATATAAAAGTGATTGTCATTTTGTAATATTATTGTATTTCCATAGATGACACATAACTGGACAATGTGTCAGAAAATTTTTCTTCATCATTAATCATGCTCATTTCCTCTGAATTACCTATGCAATTATCCATTAACTTTTACAATTTTAAAAACACTAGTTTTAACTTTCACAGATTGTAGTCATGGACTCTGAAATGTGAATTTCACTGAAAAGCACATTTTTCCTATTTTGTTAGTTTTTAAAACTAAAGATTTGTTTTTATTTACTTGAAAGGCTGAGTTCCAATAAGAGAAGCAAAATGAGAGAGAGATCTCCCATTCATTGGTTCATTCCCTAAATAGCCACAACAGCCGGGCCAGTCATAAGCCAGGAGTCTCTTCCAGATCTCTCAAATGGATGAAGACATGCAAGCACTTGGGCCTCTTTCACTGCCTTCCCAGGCGCTTCCCAGGGAGCTAGAAGGGAAGTGCAGCAGCCAAGACTTGAACAGGTGCCAAAGTAGGATGCTGGTGTTGTGCCAGCTTTATAACACTATATTATATTATTAAAACTCTGATTTCCAAACATCATTTTTTCAAAGATTTATTTATTTTTATTGGAATGTCAGATGTACAGAAACGAGGAGAGACAGAGAGGAAGATCTTCCATCAGCTGACATGGCTACAATAGCTGGGGCTGAGCTGGTCCAAGTCAGAAGCTTATTCCAGGTCTCCCATGTGGATGCAGAGGCCCAAGACTTTGGACTGTCCTCCACCGTTTACCCAGGCCACAGGCCAGCAGCTGGATGGCAAGCGGGGCTGCTGGAATAAAAACTGGTGCCCGTATGGAATCTCAGCAAATAGAAGGCAAGGACTTTAGCCACTATACTATCATACCGGGCCCTCCAAACATCTTTATACACATTCCCACTAATATTTTTAAAATCCACCCATAGCAGATTAGTGCGTTAATGGGCTCCCACCAGTGGGTTTGTTATAAATGTCCATGACCTTGGAACTCTAGAGAACACCGACCAGGAAGAAGTGCCCTCACATAATTCAGGCTAGCAACCATGGACTTCCTACAATCCAGAGTACAAGCTAAAAATAATCCTTATATAATCCCCATACACCTTATAAATTAGTGAATCTGAAGTATTCACGGAACAACAACAACAAAAGAAAAAACACTAGAAATGGACTGAGGGTCAGTGCAATCGTCCAGGTTTTCATCTGGACAATGGTTCATTCCCTAGCTGCTCCAGCTCCCATCCAGCTCCCTGCCTGCGGCCTGAGAAAAGTAGGCAAGGACAGCTCAAAGCCTTGGGACCCAGCACCCATGTAGAAGACGCAGAAGAAGCTCCTGGTTCCAGGCTTTGGACTTGCTCAGCTCTGGCCCTTGTGGCCACTTGGTGAATGAACAAGCAGAGGGAAGACCTTTTTCTCTGTCTTTCCTTCTCTCCTGAAAATCCGTCTTTCCAATAAAAGTAAATAAATCTTTAAAAAAAAAAAAAAAAAAAAAAAACTAAGGCAGTCTCCAAAAAGGCACTATCGTTTAGCCTTAACAAAAAACACTTCCTGAAGAATCAAGATGGCAGAATAGGGTAAGGACACGTTTAAACAGATGGGGAGAAACATTTAATCTGGATGAAGCAGAGAGGACATATTTCAGGAAATAGGAAAAGGCAGAACAACAGTAGAGGGGTACCTGGAAGCTGACAGACACAGGAAAGGAGCAGGCACAGCAGTGTGGTGTTGCAGTGACCGATATCCAGCACGGCATTCAGCTAACGGCGATCTGAACTCCACCAGCAGCCGGAACTTCACCAGCAACCAGGTGGGAAGGGACTTTCACTGGAAGCTTGGGAGGTGAATCCAGACAAAGAACTGTCCGTCCTGCTGGTCCGTTTGATTTGACCAGGAGCAGAGACAGAGCAGCAAATTTCAAACGGGCAGTGCGAGAACAGAGTGAATTTCATAGCCCAGTCAGCCCCTAGAGCTGAATTGGGTGCCATTTTGTGTAAGGAGGAAAAGAGCAAGGGAAAGGCAAGGGAAAGGACAGAGCATGTGCTAGCTGGGGGTGAGCTCCTTTCTGACTTGGTGAACTGCAATGACGCAGCATTCTACGGATTCCATCTGGGGCAGGTCTGGGTAGCCCTAAGACCTGACGGCAAGCTGATCAAGAACTGTAGTGGTGGTACGTTCAGGCGCCATTTTGCACACTGTGGCAATAGCTTTGGGACTGCAAGGAACAGGAAACTGCGCATGTGCTGAACGCACGAGAACTCACTGAGGTCACACAGGAAAATAATAGACTGTGGCATGGTATGTATCAAAATAGGTCTGTGTGGCACCCAGACCTAACGTCCAACATGTTCCGACAAGATCAGCGCCACCAACAATCTAACTAGGATAGGACACCTGGTGTCTCTCTAATCCTGGGACCTGCTCGAACCGGAAGTGGGAGAAAGGTTGCAGAGACAATGGTGTAGCCTCAGCACGGTATCACAGGAGGTAGAGAGTGGTGAGCCAAGAGCTGGGGCTGTGGAAAGCATGGTGGAAATCTGACATAAGAACCCAGACCTGGGGGCCCGGCGCAGTGGCGCAAGTGGTTAAGGTCCTCGCCTTGCATGCCCGGGATCCCAGATGGGCACCGGTTCTAATCCCAGCAGCCCCGCTTCCCTTCCAGCTCCCTGCCTGTGGCCCGGGAAAGCAGTCGAGGGCGGCCCAAAGCTTTGGGACCCTGCACCCGCGTGGGAGACCCGGAAGAGGCTCCTGGCTTTGGATCGGCATAGCATCGGCTGTTGCGCTCACTTGGGGAGTGAATCATCGGATGGAAGATCTTCCTCTCTTGTCTCTCCTCCTCTCTGTATATTGACTTTGTAATAAAAATACATAAATCTTAAAAAAAATACACTACATGTATTACAAAGATATGAAACTATATGGAATATATATATATACACACACACATACACACACACAAAAAACTGTATACACAAACATATCAAAAAATGTTATTTGGGTTTTACATAGAGAAAAATTTCAGAAATGATACTTTACAATCTGCTAACGTCATCTTCTCAGCAAGCATTTAAAATTGCCATGTTTAAATTTTGTATACCCAAAATTTTTTTAAATAAAAATCAGAATTTTTATAAATTAGTATTTTAAACATACAAACAAATAAGATTTCAGAACCCCTTGTCTTCATAAGGTTTAAAGACTGCTGTTACTTGTATAATGTAAGCACTAGTTTTCTAAGAAACTTCAAACGTTTTCTCAAATGGAAAAAACACAAAAATCTTCTAATATAGCTGAAACGACCTAAATTTATAAAAGATCAATATGTACATTACATTTATATTACTAATTCCATTACATACTGAAATACCTCCATACCTCTTTAATTTGCCGAAGCAATGTACTTTTGTTTATAACTTCTTCTTTCTCTTGGGCGGGTGATAACCGTAAATATTCTCTTTTTTTTTATGTCAAAATTTACATTATGATCACATTTATTAACTAGTTCTTATAAGGACAAAAGAGCATGTAACATGTGAAAACCTTACATGTTGAGGGTTGAGGGAATCCATTTGTTTTTCAAGAGGCTTGGCTGTGAGCACAGTAGTTTCTCATCAGAGTCATCAATTCATTACTTCCAAAGACAGCACTCTCTGGCTTCTCTAGTCAAGTTTTTTTTTTTTTTTATTGTTGCTTACATTATATTATGTAGTACAGTTTTATAGGCGCTGGGCATCCCCCCCACCCCTCCCATACCCCTCCCCCCATGGTGGATTCCTCCACCTTGTTGCATAACCATAGTTCAAGTTCAGTTGAGATTCATTGCTTGCAAACACCTGCCTAGCATAAAGTTCAGCGTCTTATTGTCCAGTTAAGTTCAGTGGCCTCTTGGGGAGACCTTCTATGGTCTGAAGATAGGTCTAACAGAGTAAAGATCCAGTCAGTTAAAAGCCCCAACAAGGCCTCAGTATCATTATACAACATTATGGAATTAATTGACATAGTATTGGGTAAACAATATGTTAAAAATAATGCAAGTTCCATTCTTCGAAACATCTGGGTTGAGACAGTATCAATGACATGTTCAAAAAATGACAAACAACCAAACAATAAATTACAGGTTAAATCAAGGCAAACATGTGGTATCTAACCTTTTGGGATTCGCTCATTTCCCTTAGCATTATAGTTTCCAGTTGTGCCCATTTAGCCACAAAGAACTGCATTTTTGTTTTTTTTAATAGCTGAGTAGTATTCCATGGAGTAGATGAACCAAAGCTTTCTTATCCAATCTTCTGCTGATGGGCATTTCGGTTGCTTCCATGTTTTTGCAATTACTGATTGTGCTGCAATGAACATAGGGATGCATGTTGGTTTGTCGTAAAACAGGTGTTTTGGATATATTCCTAGGAGTGCTATTGCTGGGTCATATGGTATGCAGATTTTGAGTTGTTTGAGTGTTCTCCAGACTGATTTCCATAAAGGCTGTACCAATTTGCAGCTCCACCAGCAGAGGAGTAGGGTTCCCTTTTCCCCGCATCCTCGCCAGCAAGCGTCATTGGTGTTCTTGTTTATGTGGGCCAATCTTACTGGTGTTAGGTGGTACCTCATCGATGTTTTAATTTGGATTTCCCTTATTGCTAGGGAGCTGGGACATTTTTTCATATGTTTGTTTGCCATTTGGACTTGTTCCTTTGTGAAATGTTTGCCCATTTCCCGTGCCCATTTCTTGAGTGGCTTGTTTGTTTTGGTTTTTTGGTTGTTTTGAAGTTCTTTGTATATCCTGGAAATTAGCCCCCTATCGCCTGGCAGACTATTGAAGGTCATTTACTTTGTGTGTGGAACCTGAATACTCCAACATCATATAATTCTTGTTATACCTATTTTCTTGTGGAGTATAATAAGATTGTGGAGTATAAGCTTAATTCAAACTCAGATGTGTTAGTAGAAGAAAGTCTGATCTGTGTCACTGAGAAAAGGCTGTCATTGTAGAACAGATTCTGTTGTTTTAGTATATTGATTGATATCCTCTTTATGTTTAAAGATCTACAATGGATTCAAGTATCTGATTCCAAAGAAGCATACAAACTTTTAAAACTAGGAATAAAGCACCAGAGTGTTGCCTTCACAAAACTGAATAATGCTTCCAGTAGAAGGTAAGGTACAGGCTCTGTGGGATAAGCCTGAAGCACCCATGGCATCCTGTGTATTTTAAATATAGTCAGTTTTAAATTAAAGGAAGTAGTTGGTTTTGTAGTAAGTTAAATTAATTCCAGCACATAAAAACATTTTGTAAACTAAAGAGCAATAACATATAATATTATCAATGCTATTTCTGGCCCTAATATTAACTTCGCTAATTTGTAGAAAGTCTCAGATATATTTAGTCTTTATTTATGTCGATATTTCAGCTGATTATTTTCAGTTATCTATAATTGTGGCTTTTCCCTGCATTTTCCCCATTTACCTTTTAAATGCCATATGCATACTGAATATTGCTATCCCAAGCAGTTTAAGAGGATTTTTTAAAACTATTAATTTGAATAGCAGAGTGATAGAGAGATAGAAAAGAAAGAGAGGGGGAAAGAGGTGAAAAGAAAAACATGCAAGCTATTTCCCACGCACTGGTTGAGATAGCATGCATCCATGGGTTCACTCTCCAGCAGTTGCAACAGTCAGTTCTGGCCTAGCCTACAGCCCGTAGGCCAGAGCTCTGTTTGTGTCTCCTATATGCGTGTCAGGGTCTCAAGGAGCCAGGCCATATGCTGCCTTCCTGGTTGTTTTAGAGTGAAGCTGGATCAGAAATGAGCCAGCTGGAGCTTAAAGCAGACAGTAGACAGCTGCAAAGTCTGCTGTGCCAGCATACTGGCTCCTAAGAAGTGAAACACTGGGAGATGAGTGACAGAGGGACTAAGTTTAAGCAGTAAGTTTTTTGTTTTGTTTTTTATATAACAGGTTTTCTCCTAAGGGAGAAAAAAGTACAATACACAGTGATGGCTCCGTTTTCAGTTGGGCTACAGATAATTTATGACTCAGAAAGTCTATTTAAATATAAAGGTCAAATGTAGATTTTGTGATGGAGTGAGATTTTGTTATAAGTGATTCCATTGCTCGTGGTTGGAATGTCAGGAAGAGAAGTGTTAGGAGAATTAGCAGTACACAAATTGTAGGACTCTTGGTAGTATATAGGTTGAAATATCTGGCAGCTTTTTGAAAAAATGTTGTGATGAACTAAAGCTAATACTAGGGTATTGAGATTGGCTTAGATGCTTATCTCTAATTTAGGATGTTAAAATTAAAAATCTGTAATATTTAATCTTTGTATATTTCTTTTAGTCACAGCATATTCACTATTAGAATCTTACACATTGAAGTTTCTGAAATGCCTCGTGTAATTGGAGTCAGTGAGTAAGTTCAAAATTTATCAAGTTCTTAATTATTTTGAATTGTTTAGAAGAACTTTTCAAATAACCTATTTGGTGTTTTGTTTAATTCAGATTGTCTTTATGCGATCTTGCTGGTTCAGAACGCAGCATGAAGACTCAGAATGAAGGTGAAAGATTAAGGGAGACTGGGCACATCAATACTTCTTTATTGACTCTGGGAAAGTGCATTAATGTTTTGAAGAACAGTGAAAAATCAAAGTAGGTGTTGTTAGTGTATGTATTAGTATTTAAACTTTCAACTTTACTGATTTTAGAAAGTTTGCTTTTTTTTTTTATTTGTTCACTTGCTTCTTACATGATGATGGTATTTATTATTTAAATACTTAGAGATCTTGGATTAAAAAAATGATAGAAATAAAGAAAAAGATTCATTGGTATTGGTAACTCATCAGTTAAGCTATGTTTTCCAAAGCAAAAATGTATTAGCAGTTTAGAAATGAACCTCTCATGATGCTTGTATGCTACTTTTTTTTTCTAAAGATTTATTTATTTTCATTCAAAAGTCAGATTTTATGGAAAGGACAGACAAAGAGAAAGATCTTCCATCCACTAGTTCACTTCCTGAGTGGCCACAGTAGCTGCAGCTAAGCTGATCCAAAGTCAGGAGCCAGGAGCTTCTTAAGGATCTTCCATGTGGTTGCAGGGGCCCAAGGTTTTGGGCTGTCCTCTACTGCTTTCCCAGGTCACAAGCAGGGAGCTAGAAGGGAAGTGGGTATGAACCTGCGCCCATGTGGGATCCTGGTGCATGCAAGGAGAGGACTGTAGCCACTAGGTTACCCCAGGTCCTCTTTTTTTTTAAAGAAAATATTTCTATTGGAAAGGTAGATTGTACAGTTTTATAGAAAGCAGTGACTGAAAGGTCTTCATCCACTGGTTCACTCTCCAAGGTGGCTGCAATGGCCAGAGCTGAGCCAATCCAAAGCTGGGAGCCAGGAGGACTCTCAGGTCTCCCCTGAGGAACTAGTGTCCTAAGGCTTTGGACCGTCATCTGCTGCTTTTCCAGAGCTTAAGCAGGGGGCTGTACGGTACGGGAAGTGTAGCTGGGACATAAACTGCTGCCCACTTAGGTTGCTGGCATTTGTAGACAGGATGAGTTAGTTTGGCCATCGCAGTGAAACCTGCTACTTCATTTTTGCTAATAATTTGTGTGCATTCTTCTAGAAATGGAGATTTTTGCATTAAATAGCTTTGTAAGCTGAGTAATGATAAGTCATCTTTCATCATTTTTATTATCAAACAGTTGTATCCATTGCATAATATTCTATGTCATTATCCAGTGCTACCTGTTATCCAACAGTTGTATACCATGAAACACAGCTCCATTAAATGTGTTTTTCTTTATTTTTCCTAGTAGGTCATTGTTCAATCGTTTAAAGAAAATGAGCAGAGAAGCCTGTTACAGTTGAAGCTAATTTTTAACTTTCAATTTTAAGTCTGTATTAAGTGGATCAAATTATTCCTGGTAAACTTTATCAGCATATTAACCTCATGAGCTTTGATTTGACTTAATATTATTTAAAAAATTTTTTATTTCACAGGTTTCAACAGCATGTGCCTTTCCGGGAAAGTAAACTGACCCATTATTTTCAAAGTTTTTTTAATGGTAAAGGGAAAATATGTATGATTGTCAACATCAGTCAGTGTTGTTTTGCCTATGATGAAATGCTCAATGTGCTGAAGTTCTCAGCCATTGCACAAAAAGTAAGTATATTCACACTCCTACAGAATTTATTAAGACTCAGATTTTTAAGAAATAATATGTTTTGTATTTGCTACTTAAAGCCAAGGAAATAATTGAAAATTAAGTATGGAAATGCTTGATGAAGTAGAATAACATGGAAAAAGATTGAAGATTGCCCTAATAGAATTGACTTGAAGGTTAGAAATAAATATTAACAGTAAACATTACAAATCAAGAAATTTTCTTGGAAAAAATAGTCTGCTCTGCTATTTGCCTGACTGCCAATACTAAGAACTTAGCCTAGGATTATAGTTTTGCTTGTAGTCTGCACGTAAAAGTAGTTTGTTTCTTAAAAGAATGTTTTTTTAAGGATGTGAATTTGGGGCACAGCACAGCAGCCTAGTGGCTAAAGTTCTTGCCTTGCACGTGCCAGGATCCCATATGGGCTAAGGTTCTAATCCCAGTGGCCCCCACTTCCCATCTAGCTCCCTACTTGTGACCTGGGAAAGCAGGTGAGGACAGCCCAAAGCCTTGATATCCTGCACCCATGTGGGAGACCTGGAAGAGGCTCTGGGCTCCTGGCTTAGGATGGGTGCAGCTCTGGCCATTGTGGCCACTTGGGGAGTGAATCATTGGACGGAAGATCTTCTCTGTCTCTTTCCTCTCTGTATATCTGACTTTCCAACAAATAAATAAATCTTTAAAAAATACAAAAAATGGGTGTGAATTTAACTTTTGTATGTTTGTTTGTTTAATCTTTTAACACTCAATTAGATATTTGATCTAATTTACAAGATTAATTTTTTGTGGCAGGCCCTGCCTTTTCTTTCTTTTTTTTTTTCAAGTAAATTAATAAGGTATTGAGTGACCAATATGTTAGAAAATGCAAGTTCTTAACCACATCCTGTAACTACTTTCTTGACATCTCAATTTTAGTATATGCACAACTGGCTGCTATTCTAAAAGTTACATTGGGTATCTTAACAGGTTTATGTTCCTGATGCTTTAAATTCCTCTCGAGAGAGAGCTGGTGGAACTTCCAAGTCTTCTGAAGACATATCAGTAGATAATAATTCAGATAATAAAATGTTAAATGTAAAAAGAGCCACTGTTTCATGGGAAAATAATCTTGAAGATTTGGTAGAAGATGAAGATTTGGCTGAGGATCTAGAAGAAGGTGAAGAAACTCAAAATAAAGAAATGGAACTTAGTGATGAAGATTTGGATAGAACTGTGGAAGATAAGACTTTACTTAACTGCAAGGAGAACAAGGTAGGTATTAAAAACTTATTGATTGGGGCCTGGCAGCGTGGCCTAGTGGCTAAAGTCCTCACCTTGAATGCACCAGGATCCCATATGGGTGCCGGTTCTAATCCCGGCAGCTCCACTTCCCATCCAGCTCCCTGCTTGTGACCTGGGAAAACAGTTGAGCATGGCCCAAAGCTTTGGGATCCTGCACCCGCGTGGGATACCCGGAAGAAATTCCTGGCTTCTGGCTTCGGATCCGCATAGCATTGGCCATTGTGAATCATCAGATGGAAGATCTTCCTCTCTGTCTCTCCTCCTCTCTGTATATCTGACTTTCCAATTTGAAGTTCATTAGCAATTTTTATAAATAACTTTAAAAATGTTTTAATGGTATATATTTATTGGCATACAGAGTTAATAGTTCTTAAGGTTTCCTCTCCCATTTTTTCAATCATACGTTGACATTTTTTGTATCTCAAGTTTATGTTTTGAAAAATTTTAAGCCTATAAAAATGCTAGTATAATGAGTAGTTGGGTCACCAATTGTTGTCATATTATAAATATGTAAGTAAAGATTCTTTTGCTTGTAGGTAAAAACCTATACAAAATTATACCTTAAAACTAACTATGATGGTATTTATTTTCTAAGAATGAGAAATTTTCCTCATAATTTCCATGACTGTTCTTTCACCTAAGAAGCCTAATATTGATGTAACAAAGCTATCTGTTAGGCCACCCATCCTGAGATTTCTCTGGTGGTATTAATATAGCTTGAATAACCATTTAATTTCTGTTTACAAAAAAACATTGATTTTAGCATCACGTTTGTGTAGTCATTTTTAATCTAGCGTTGATATCTTTTAGAAGTAGAGGCTATCCCTACTAATGAAATTCACAGTGTTGGGTTTAAGTGGAATAGTAGTTCCTGGTGGATAATACATGAGGCAAATTTACTTTTTTCTTAGTTCAGCTGAGCATTGAGATGTTTGAGTTTATTTTTCATGTAGGTCTTCCTATGAGGTGGAGAGATTACAAAGTAATGAATCTGCAAATGCCAAAAATTTAGTGAGAATGCAATTTTTAAAAAGGATACGTAATTGTGGTTGATTAGATAAAAATTATTTTTGAAATAGTTGGACAGTATTTGGGTTATGTTTATCCTTTTATAAGAATTCTAATATTTAAATATTTTAGAAACTATTGAATTTAATAGAAGAACTGAAAAAAAACTGATAAATGAAAAAAAAGAGAAGTTAACATTGGAACTTAAAATTCGAGAAGTTACACAGGAATTTACTCAATATTTGGCTGAACGTGAGGCTGACTTTAAGTAAGTTGTTTCTTTGATGATTTAGTAAAAACTGAGAATTTCATTGCCTTGTTTCCTTTTCTTGCTTTCTGAGTTCTCATTTCTTTTCAGTAGTTTGAAAATAGCTTTTACTAATCGTCTTACATGAAATTTATTTTAATCTGTACTAGCCCTTGGCAGTGTAGAATTCTGTTCTGTTTTTTAAATGGAACTAATTTGTGTAATGCAGAGAAGCAATCCTTCAGGAACGAGAGATGTCAGAAGAAAATGCTGAATGCCGTTTGGCGATCTTCAAGGAATTGGTTGGTGTATGTGACATTCAGGAAGAACCAAGCAATAGAGTTTGTGCTGTGAAAGTTGAAACTGAGGTATTGTATCTCAAATGCTAGATTTCCAGGGAGAGTTTGATAGCAGGATATAATATGTGGTGGCATTATTGATGAGAAACATTAGTTTAGAATTAACGCAAAATAACTCTTTTTTTTTTATTATACTTATATCTGTTTTGTTAGGAATGTTAATGCAAATTGTTTTGATATTGCTTGAGTCATTATATGGACTGACAAAGAGGTTCAGTGTTTTTAATTATAAGAAACCTTCCCCAGCTTAGTCTTAAACTTCCAGTTTTTAAATTAGACTATCTAAAGATATAAGGAACTCTAAAAGGAGTAATTTACTTACTGTTTTGATTACCACAAAAATATTTGTTCTTACTGAATAATTACAGCTTCCTAGTTTTAAGGAAAATTTATCCTTTTCTGCTGTTTCCTCAGAAAACTGACTAGGTTTTCTTGGGTTTTCTAGGTTTTTTTGTTGTTGTTGTCACTTTTTAAATAGTTACGTTAATTTCAAAGTCAGAATTAGAGAGAAAGAAGGAACTATCTCCCATCTGCTGGTTCACTTCCCAAATGCCTCCAACAGCCAGAGGGTGTGCCAGGCTAAACCAGTCCCCTGGAACAGCATCTGGGTCTCCCAGATGGGTGGCAGGAGGTGGCCCAAGTGCTTTGGCCATCTTGCTTTGACTGCTTTGTGGAGTGCATTGGAGGGAGCTGCACTGGAAGCAGAGCAGCCAGGACTCAAGCAGGCCCCGATAGTGTGGAAATCCAGTGTTGGAAGCAGTGGCTTAACGTGGTGCACAGGGCCGCCTGCACCACTTGCTTGCTTTGTCGTCACTCAGTTCAGGGACCTGTGACAGTGATGTCTAGACTCTTGCTGTCATTTCACCATTCTGTGTCACTGCTATGATTTGGAATTGAACTGAGTTGTTTAAATGAAGATTAGTTTTCTTGGCTATTCTAACATAGTCTTTTAAGTATCGTTATTTATTTGAGATGATACCTAACTAACTTACCATAATTGTATAATTTTCACTGTTTCGGACATTTTCCCTGTGACATTTTAATGAGGAAAAATGATTCTGTTCCTTAAAAAATCAGTAGTAGAATGAAATTTTTTTTTTCCATTGGGGGCTTCTATATGATTTGCCTAAAAGGCTATCATAAGTTTTTGGCTGTTTCTAAAGCTCTGTGTATTATGTGGTAACACGTCAGGGTGAAACCCAGGGTTAACATTAGGCATGTGGTTTTTGCTGTTTTTAGGAAGCACATAATTATGTAGGATTTGAAGATATTATTGACTCTCTTCAAGATGATGTCACTGATATTAAGAAACAGGCTGAAATTGCTCACTTATGCATTGCATCTCTTGCTGATCCCCAGGAAGCCATTGCTTGTTTACAACTAAAGTTAAGTCAAGTTAAAACTGAATTAGATAAAACTAAAGAAGAATTAATCAAAACCAAAGAAGAGTTAAAAAAGAGAGAGAATGGTAAGTAGATGTATTTTACTCCTTTGTAGATATTATAAACATATAAAATCTGATAAATATAAGAGAATTACACAACTTATTTATTACAGTGACCAGGAAATTCCTTAACCTAGGGTAGTAAGTTTTAGTATGTAATCATTTATATGAATTTATACAAATTTGCTACAAGAAATATATTTGACCATCACGTATTTCACTAGTTTTTGGGAAATAGTTAGTTTTAAAGGCAGAAAGCACTCCCATCTATTAGTTTACTCCCTAAATGCACACAACAGCCATAGGAAGGCTTGGTCTGTGGCTGCGTATTGGCATTCAATCCAAATTTCCATTAGGTGACAGGAACCTAATGGGCCTGTCTACAGCTCCCTCCCAGAATCTGCATGACTAGGAACCTTGAATCAGTCCCAGGTTCTCCCATGTGATAGAAAGGTTTCTGCCATCTTAACCTATAGGTCAAGGACTTTTCAAGAGAAAGTATTAGCTTTTTCCGTAAATGAAGAAATTATTCTTCCATATTCTTTATGCATTCTAGTGTAGGAGATTATGCTCTTGGCTTACAAGTTTGAAATAGACTAACTCCTATGGGGTGGCTGAAGCTAGATTGGAGGTTTGTTCTGTCTTTGAGGATATCTTACATTTGTAGGAGGGTACTTCAAAATTTTAACGGAAAAAGGAAAAGAGAAAGTCTGTATTGAAGTAAAAGTTTTTGAAATACAGATAGTTTTTTTCATAATACTCATTTTCCATTAGTGGTTTTGAAGTATCTTTCTGTATGATTAGTTGCAACATTTGGAGTTGGAGAAAATTGGATAAAATCATCTTCCCTTTTCTGTGTAATACTAGATGGGTAGAGAAACAGCCGGTAAGTGATGCTTCTGCCTTTGGAGTGGACCAGGAAAGCCCTGACTCTGTCTCTTCTCTGGTGTCATGCCAGTTCTCTACTACTTAACGTGTCACTCATTTTTATCCTGGGTTTTGAAAGTATCATTTTTCTGAAACATTATTCTCTTGTAAGACGAATGCTGTGCCTTTGTAATGCTGTCAAAATTCTTTTTCCTGAATGTAATGCTGATAAAAGTGTCCACTATAGAAACTTGTGTTTCATGAGTTTAGTCATCGTTTCTTAGATATGAACTTATTTTCAAAATTCTTTGTTTTTTCAGAATCAGATTTATTAGTCCAAGGGCTGAAGAAATCTAGTAAGGTAATACTTTAAGCTTTTTTATTTCTTTGTTTTGATGAGGAGTAGAAGAGTACAGTTTATTACTACAAATGTTTATTTTAAAACCAATTACAGAAAAAGTAATGAAGACGGTGATAACAAAATTGAGAAGTCTAAGTGCCTTCACCTTTATACTGCTTTTCAGTGATGGTCATTGGGAAGATTCTATAAGCCTTATGGGAAATTTGTGGACATATATAGAAGGATACATATGTCTTAAAAAGTTTGCATAAGTAGAGTGATTTTCTGCTTTGCTTTCTTCCTCTCTAAATTATGTCTTGCAAATTATTCTAAAGCAATACCTACAGATATGTATCCTTCCTTTACTGAATTCATTAAAACCAACAATAAAAAGGGAGTCCAGTGTTGTATTACCACCGGCTAAGTCTCCCTGCATTGCTGGTATCTTATGTAGGAGCCAGTTTACGTCACAGCTGCTCTGCTTCCAGTTCAGCTTCCTTCTGATATTCTGGGAAGGCAACAAAAGATGGCCCAAGTGCTTGGGCGCCTGTGAGCCATATGGGACACCTCGATGGAATGCCTGCCATCTGGCTTCAGTTTGACCCAACCCATTTTATTGGCCATTTGGAGCATTAACCAATGGATGGGAGATCTCTCTCTGTCCAAGCAGCATCTTAGCCACTGTCCACATGTGTATTCCCTTAACTCCTTATTACTTGTGTTATATATATATGTATGTGTATATATGTATGCATGTATACAGACATACACATATATAAAACCCACTACCTTATGACCTAATGTTATTTTATCTGCATGTTCTGAAATTTGCATATTTTATGATGTAAAATGGCAATAATGTCAAACTTCTCACAGCCTATGCGGTCTGGGGTTTGAACAAGCTCCATCCCTCAGTCAGCAGGTTTTAAAGTTTCTGGGACTGCAGCAGAGGTGAGTGTCAGGTGGCACTGTCTGCTTTTGAGTTATTTACTCAGCACTAATGAATGCTTGCACGCGTATTGGAGTTTATTGTTTGAGGCTGCTTACTGCACAGTTGGTTGTGCGAAGAGATTTCCGAGGAAAGGTGAAGTTCTTCTGGGAAACTAGATCACCAAGCAAAGTTAATCTTCTCTGAGAAACAGATCTGTTAGTGTGAATGAATTTGATGATCAGTCATTGAAAATCCCACCAAAGATAAAAGTGATTACTCACTGTAAAGAGTTTCTTTAATAAAACATTGTCTTCTACTTTTATTTGTATTATTTTTAGATTTATATTTATTTGAAAGGCAGAGTTATAGAAGGAGAGAACAAAGGAGAGAGAGATCTTCCATCCTCTGGTTTATTGCCCAAATGGCTGCAGTGGCCATTGCTGGGCCAGTCCACAGCCCAGAGCCAGGAGCTCTGGGTCACCCACAGATGCCCAACTGCAGACATCCAAGCCCTGGACCATCCACTGCTTTCCCAGCTGCATACCAGGGAGCTGGGTTGGAAGAGGAGGAGCTGCGACTTGAACTGGTGCCTCTAGGGGAACTGGTGCATCAACCGTGCCTACTGGCCGCAGCAGCATCCCCTAAAACACTGTTTGCTACTGTGTCTTGAAATTGTATGTTATAACTCTATCATCAACCTTCTGTAACTCACTGAGAATTCGCTTGATTTATGTTGAATTTAGAGTTCTGTGAATAACCTTGAAGTGTACAGAGGTTCTCATTAGACACGAATTAGCTCTATGTTACTAAAAGCTTTTGAGGTAAAATTACTTTAATAATTATTCACCATGATTATTGGGAGCACTCCCTGTTTGGAAGTGAGGATGTGCAGTCATCAAGGAATGAGAATCTAATAAGACAGATGTGTCGATGGCAAACTGGATCATAAAAACGAAGAGAGGCTGTGAGGGAGGGAGAAGGGAAGAGAAGGATACTTGCATATGCAAAGATAACATGAGCCATTCCTTTTTTCTGGCCTTTCCTTGATTGTTCTAGGTAGTTTCAAGTAATTAGCATTGACTAATATAAACTGTAAAGCTTGTGGAAAATCTCAGCATGAATCTGTAAAGTTTTTTAATCTGTAAACAAGGTTTGATTCTCATTTGCATGAAGTCATACATCGTAAAATTTCTTTTAACCCTAAGTATGTATTTTCCTAAATTTTTTAAATTTCAATTTCCCATTAGTAATTCTAGAAGTTGCTATATGTTTCAGAGTTTTGGAGAATCTTATTATAATGCTGTCTTCCATTTTCACCTTCATAAACTCAGCATGCCGAACTTGGCTGAAAACACAAAATGACTCATTCATATTCCACTGTACTGAGCTTGTGACTTTTGTGGGCATGGTGTCTCCTCGTACAGTGGCAGGATTCTAAGATGGGGCATCGGGCAGTGTCCTGAACCTTAGCATTCCCAGAGAAAGGGAAGACAGCCTGAGGACCATCAAATTATTTCTACTACATTCTATGAAAATTTGCTAATACAGCCAAGACTCCATCTCTAGGTGGCAACACCAACAATGAATATGCAACTGGCTTTAAATGTGCATAACTGTAGTGCATGTTCAAAGTCCTGGACTGTTTTTAGAGATTTCCGATCTGATAGATTTGTGGTAGAGTGCAATAATCTTTTTTTTTTTTTTTAAAGATTTATTTTATTTATTGGAAAGTCAGATATACAGAGAGGAGGAGAGACAGAGAGGAAGATCTTCCGTCCGATGATTCACTCCCCAAGTGAGCGCAACAGCCGATGCTATGCCGATCCAAAGCCAGGATCCAGGAACTTCTTCCGGGTCTCCCACACGGGTGCAGGGTCCCAAGGCTTTGGGCTGTCCTCGACTGCTTTCCCAGGCCATAAGCAGGGAGCTGGATGGGAAGCAGAGCTGCCGGGATTAGAACCGGTGCCCATATGGGATCCCAGGAGTTCAAGGCAAGGACTTTAGCTGCTAGGCCATGCCGCCGGGCCTGAGTCCAATAATCTTTTAAAGAAATTCTCTAGATAATTCTTAGAATGGTTTACCTTTGAGAAATGAGATCTAAGTTTCTCCCAGTTTTGACCTATCATGGGCGAGCCTGGAGAGGGTGAGTGATAACTCCCATCTTTTAGCCTTGCAATAGGCTTGCACACTTTTTAATCTTGACTGGCTTATTGCTAGGAATAGTTCTTTGAAAGGATTTGTGTTTTTGTGGTTAGTAAATTCATATTCTACAGCTAATTTTTTTCCTTTTCAATTATGTTTTAGGATGGATCGGTAGTTCTTGACTCTTGTGAAGTATCATCAGAAAATGATCAAAGCACTCGATTCCCAAAGCCTGAGTTAGAGATTCAGTTCACACCTCTGCATCCCAACAGAATGGCGGTGAAGCACGCTGGTTGTGCTACACCAGTGACAGTTAAGATTTCCAAGGCTCGGAAGAGGAAGAGCAATGAAATGGAGGAGGCAATAAATTGCTTATCTGACGGGCAAACTTAACAAATAATTCTTACTGAGCTCAGTCAGACAACATAGTTGAGCTTTGCTGCCCTATCTTCGTGTTGATAAGCCCTGCTCTCATAGACCAGCATATTCATTTATGGTCTTTTTTTTTTTTTCTTATTCAAGATTTATTTATTTGAAACGGTTACAGAGAGAGAGAGATTTTATCCACTGGCTTATTTCTTGAACGGCCACATTGTCAGGGCTGGACCAGGCTGGGTGGGGGACATAAGCACTTGAACCATGCTGCCTTTCCAGATGCATTAGTGAGAGCTGGACCCAAATACAGCAGTCAGTAGTCAAACCAGCACCCATGTGGGATGCTGGCATGGCAGGTGCTGGCTATGCCCCCTTGCTGGCCCCAGTTATGGCAATACCTTTAAAGCATATCTCTCTAGTTTAATCATACTGAGACAAAAAGCTATGAATATTAAAATTTATAGCATATTATTTGTTTCATTTAGACTGAAGGCCCAGTGATGATATATTTTGTTGCAGAGCTGTTTTTGTAAATTGGTCCTGTTCAAAAGGATTGATATAGAAATTTTAAAAAAAGAAAACAGAATTGCTATGTTTGCTTGAGTAATAGTTTTTGTCAATAAACTAAGATTTTAGGTCTCTGTGATTGTAGCAAGTTTTGGGAAATGCTTGTTCAATCAGCCTCTGTTACGATTTGTGCTTTTCTATAGTTGCAGGCCAGGAACTACTTCGTCCTCCTTAGCGTGGCTCTTTGGTTATAGGGCTGCCCCCGTGCGCTACACTAGCCATGCAGATTTGACAAGTCATATCAGCTTCATGCTGCTCAGTTTGCTCCTTTTCAAAATAATGGAAATATTCAAATAGGTTACCTTTCACTCTGCATATAAAAGAGCTTGCTTTGTTGAGGATATGTGAGAAAATAACTGAGTAAGATGTCATGCCTAGGTGGTACAGAAGAAAGATTATAGTATTTCCTGATTTGCACATGTGCCTGTATATCCACTGGAGTTTTGAGTTTTGCTTTTGATAGTCAAATGTAAATAAGAGATCCTGGACATAGATGCTAGAAAATTTGGGAATTTTAGGTGTATTGCTATGTAGTATTTGAAAGATGAATCTGAAATAAAACACGTTATGCCTTTTATACTTCTCAGGTACTATTTATGATGTATGTGAAAAATTCCCATCTTCTCACGGGACTGCTAAGCTTCAACACAATTGACACTTTGGCATGGATACCTAGGGGGCGGGGGTGCTCATTGCATGGGTAACCTTAGCCTCTGCCCAGTGGTGGCCAAGAACAGCTTGCTGTTCCAGGCAAATCAAAGTATTTCTAGACATTCCTCGTGTCACCTGAGGTCAAAATCACCCTCAATTACAAACCACTATTTTAAATGGCAATACATGTGTAGTATTTTATGGATTTCCTTTTCTGAGTCTAGAGAAGCAGCACTTTGTCAGGAAGTTAACCCTTGGTCTCATTCATTATTTGTAGGACTTTGTGAAATGTGAGAATAAGAAGAATGCTACTCCCAGAAGTAATTTGGACTTCCCTGTTTCAGAGCATAGAAATTCTTCCATCAAAAAAGAACAGAAGGTTTGTCTTCATTGTCAAGAACATTTCTGTAACTTTAACTTATGTATATTTAAACCAGGAGATAAATAAAGATAGCAAATTCTGATCAGTACTTATCTAGAATGCCAGGTGTGCCCGGTATAACTCAGTTATCTTCCCTCTCCTGGGGGCTGTCTCTGCTTGGGAAGGAACCTAAAGCATTTGATCAATACGGGCACTGCTGATGTCATACGTGCCCGGTGAGGCTCCTCTTGCGTTTCTACACGAGAATTCATAACCTATCTGTGGCCTCTTTAATTCACCTGCAGCCATCACTTGTTTCCTCTGGCATTCCTCCTCAACAGTAACAAAAACTCTTCGTTTATTAGGTTTCCATACGTCCATCACCTAAGAAAACATACTCTTTACGGAGTCAGGCACCCACGATAGATGTAAACTTGACCACTAAGAAAAAAGAAGGAACATTTCAGAAATTTGGAGACTCCTTACAGCGTTCTCCAACAATTCTTCAGTCAAAAGGTTTGTAATGCATGGTGATCTTTCCATGAGATGTAGAGTACATTCTCATCTCTCATGAGCACATAGCCTCAACAGCTGCTTAGCGGATATCGCACTTTAAACAGGCCTGGTCCTGCATTGTGTACAATGAGAAGAAGTAGTTGAAATGATGAAATAGCCAGGTGTTTGCTGACAGTGCAGGAGAAAGGCTTTTACCACCTGCGGAGACCCAGTAAAGGACAGGAGTGTGGATGCAGTTTGAGGCAGCAGTAGGTGTCCTGCTCGTGGCAGGTGGAAAGCCCTTCGCGGGGGAGCGTGGACGATGAGGTGTTTTGGGGATTAGACGAGTGGAGCACTAGTATGAACTGGACACCAGGGGTGGGGAGAATGGGCAGGGTAGGGAAAGGGCCTGGCAGTGGGAGACATTAACTCAGTGAAACGGATTGTGTGATTAATATTTGCTATGAAAAACGACCCAGAGCTTCTCAAACGTCTTGCTTAGGTGCCCTTTAACTTTGAATAATCATTTTCTTTGTACGGTTATTTACAAAAATCACTCTGACCATTAGAACCTAAGGTGAAAGGACCATGGAAAGATTTGCTTGTGAAAGTCTAAAGTTCCAAAAATATGTCATCATTAGAAGGAATATGGTGTCATCTGGAACCTGTTTTGAGCTAGTCAGTGTCACTCTTTCCGGTGAAGATTGAAAACACCCTGATGTGTTCCTACAAGTCAGCTTCGTGTTCATCCACAGTTTGGGGGATTCAGATTTGTGAGGCCTCTTGGCTGTCCTTTCTTAATTAAAAATTTTTTGTGAGATAACACATTCTCATGTTCAATTATAGCCAGAGACTCAGCCCCACTAAATGGCTGAACCAACAGCAAAATGATCATAGTTCAGCAGGACCACAGGCATGAACTTTTAGATACGGAGCGTCAAAACTATCAGAGTATGCCTGACAGATTCAATACAGTTTGACAAAACATACTGTATTCGTAGCAAACCCTTCTCTTTTTTCTTAAGGATTTGTTTGCTTTTATTTGAAAGGCAGAGTTACAGCAAGAGGGAGAGACGGATCTGCCGGGCTGATTCATTCCCTAGAGGCCACAATGGCAGCAGCTGAGCTGTTCCAGGTCTCCCGGGTGGGTGCAAGGGCCTAACGACCGGAGCCCTCTCCACTGCTCTCCCAGGCCTTCAGCAGAGAGCAACCAGGACATGAACTGGTGCCCATGTAGGGTGCTGGCACTTGCAGGCAGAGGATTGGGCAACTAAGCCATCACACCATCCCCGATGTTCACTGGACATCTTCACACATGAATAGGTACATCTAGTACCTTACTATTTTAAATTGTGCATAGTTGACTGGTTATGAGTTTACTGTTGCAGAAACCTCTTTCAAGTGACAAACGAATTAAAGATGATTGTGTTACAAATTATCATGTCGTTTTAAGATGATGAAACATTAGATAAGTTGTATTTTGTTGGGCCAGGTTTATACATGAGGTTAATCTGCCCCCTGCCGTGCTTCCATGTATGTTCTGGTTCATGTCTAACTACTCCAGTTTGAATCCAGCTCCCAGTAATGGCCAGTGTGTAGACTGCTGCCGTGCACATGCAGACTGGACAAAGCCCCTGACTCCTGGCTTTGGCCTGGCCCAGCCCTCGTCACTGCAACCATTTGAGGAGTGAACCACCAGATGGAAGATCTGTCTCTCCCTGTGTTTGTAACCCTTTCAAATAAATAGACAAATCTTTAAATTTATATATGTATATCGTTTATCTTTTTGTTTCCTTTGCTATTGTTCCATGCATTTTTTAGGCATTTAATTTTTCCTGTTTGTGAATTCTCTGTTTATGTCCTAATACCAGTTCATATTATAGTATTTTTCTTTGAATTTGTATCTGTTGTTTCTTTATTAAGGACTTCAAGCTTTGCAATAACAAAATAATTTAATTCAGAAATTAATATTTTTATTTTATAGCAAAGAAGATCATTGAAACAATGAGCTCTTCAAACCTCTCAAATGTAGAGGCAAGTAAGGAAAATGTGTCGCGACCCAAACGAGCCAAACGGAAATTATACACAAATGAAATCTCCTCGCCTCTGGATATATCTGGCCAAGTGGTGAGCTGGCGTTTCACTCTTCATCAGTATAAACTTCCTGTTTTTTTGTTTTGTTTTGTTTTCTCAAGAATTCCTAATGTTAGTGGTACTGATGATTTGAATCTCTACTGTGTAGACCATATTTCTTAAGATAGCCAGTGCTGGCGATGCACCTTTATCATAATGACACATAGACACCTCATCAGTGTAAACAAGTGTCAGGCTTTTTGTATTTGACAGTTTATCATAGGAATATATTTTCATTAGTAAAGTTGTTGCTATTTTGTAATTTTTTTGCATCTACCATTAATTTTTTTTTATCTTTATCATGAACCTTGTATAAATGTGGGCCCAGATGCGCCTGGTAAGAAGATGCAGCTGACACGTGGCTGTGTCCTCGCACCCTGGCCGAGAGCCCTCCAGGTTCTGCTCGGGAGATGGTTGTCGCCCTCCTGTATGGCTCCTTCTCTTCACGCAGGACCTTCCGTCATTAGAAGGAATGCTCAAACTTTTCTGTAAAAGTAAAGGCAGAAAAGTAATTAAAGGATAAAAAAATATTCAAAAGGAAGTGGTCAAGAAGAGCCAAGAGAGACTTTTTGTTTGTTTTTTGCCGCAGGAACTGCCAGATGTTAGATTGATGCTTGAAGACACAGAGTTAGAGTCACTTAGGACATTGGGGCTGTCCTGCTAGTTACCGTCTGTGCGATTAGTATGTAATTTCAGTTCTTGGCTGAGAGTTATTTCTTAGTGGCAGAATACTGTACTTTGTAAGTTACATACTCATTGCCACGGTGGAAGATCCATTTCTTAAAAATGATTTGAGACGGGCCCGGTGCGGTGGCGCAGTGGTTAAGGTCCTCGCCTTGCACGCCCGGGATCCCATATGGGCGCCGGTTCTATCCCGGCAGCCCCGCTTCCCTTCCAGCTCCCTGCCTGTGGCCTAGGAAAGCAGTCGAGGACGGCCCAAGGCTTTGGGACCCTGCACCCGCGTGGGAGACCTGGAAGAGGCTCCTGGCTTCGGGTCGGCATAGTATGGGCCCGTTGCGCTCACTTGGGGAGTGAATCATCGGACGGAAGATCTTCCTCTCTGTCTCTCCTCTCTGTATATCTGCCTTTCCAGTAAAAAATAATAAAAATAAATCTTAAAAAAAAATGATTGGAGGCAATTGCCTCCAACTTTCTGGTAATTGTTTCAAACTATCCATGTCTGGAATTTAATACAGATTGTAGGTTACTTTTTAATTTTAGAATTGTGCAGCTAGATATTTTACTAAATCGATTACTTTTTTAGGCATGCATTTTTATAGGAAATGGTTTGCCTCTGGTGTCTGAGGACAAAAAAATGCTTGTTTATGTTATTAATTAAGTGGATGAGCTTATGATCTATTTCAAACTAGCTTTTTTTTGTTTTTCACTTACGTTTGCTGAGACTGTGAAATTACTGATTTCAGATTTTAATGGACCAAGGATTGAAGGAGAGTGACCACCAGATTCTAAAGCGAAGACTTCGAGCAAAAATGGAGAAATGAATGGCTCATGGAGGACATTACAATGTAACTTTATGTGTATAATCATTGTAACGTTCATGCTCTACTCTATAAAGATAACTCTGTATATTATGGTTCATTAAATACCTCTATATAAAACAGTAATCTCTATACATAGTGTTATTTTAATGCAATAAAGAAAGTAAGTTAACAGTTTGTCTGCTTTTTAAACCTTTTCAAAAACAGATTCTTGGGCCTGATGCTGTGGCTCAGTAGCTAAATCCTTGCTTTGCATGTGCTGGGATCCCATATGGGAGCTGGTTCTAATCCCGGCAGCTCCACTTCCCATCCAGCTCCCTGCTTGTGGCCTGGGAAAGCAGTCTAGGACGGCCCAAAGTCTTGGGACCCTGCACCCGTGTGGGAGACCCGGAAGAAGCTCCTGGCTCCTGGCTTTGGATTGGTGCAGCTCTGGCCATTGTGGTCACTTAGGGAGTGAAACCAGTGGACCGAAGTTCTCTGTTCTGCCTTTCCAATAAATATTTTAAAAATCTTAAAAAACAAAAATGACAAAAACCAGTTTCTTTCCAAGTAGCCTATGTTTCCACTTTGGAGCAGTGAAGATCCTAGCAAAGACGCTGTCATTCTCATGTGTTTTTCTACACATGATGTCATAGGCTGATTATTCAGTTTCTCATATTTAATAGTGTCTGCTAGACTGTGCAACTGACTTTAAAAAAACAAAAAGAAGATGTACTAATTTTATTTGAAGGGCAGAGTCGGGGAGAGAGGAAAGGGCAGTGGAGACCCTTCATCTCCGTCAGTCCCCCGGCGGCCGCAGGAGCCTGGGACTGCAGCTGCACCTCCCGCCTGACTAACGTCACCTGCTTCGTACTTGGGCTCAGCAACAAGTGTGTTAGAGCTGGTACCCACGTGGGATGCCTCCCTCGGAGGTAGCTGCTTCATCTGTTACGCCACACTCCTGTCCTCTGTAACCCGATCTTTACCTAACTGGTTTATAATTAGGATTAAGGGAATAAGTGTGTGTAGATCTTCTGTTTGCCAAAACCATGTATGCAAATTATTTCCTCCTTGTAGTGCTAGAAGCTCATGCGAGCTGACTTGAACCCCTGCTGCCCCACTTTGGACCCAGCGGCCTGCAAATTCACACGGAAGGCAGTGGGAGAGGGCCTGAGTGCTTGGGCCGCTGCCACCCCGTGGGAAAGCAGCATGAACCCCAGATCCTGGCTTTGGCAAGGCTCAGCCCTGGCTAATGCAACCGATTGGGAGTGAGCCCGCACGTGGAGGCTCTCTCCCTCTCCCTCTTGGTAACTGCCTTTCAAGTAAGTCTGTCATTCAGACATTAAACATGAAATTCAGACCAGAAAAGATGGAAGAACGAAATGAAAACAGCCGCCGTGTCCTTTGTGTAATTGGAGATCCCAAGTGATAAAAGGAAAAATAGAGCAGGAAGAAAAAAACAATACTTGAAGAAATAGTGATCCAAAATTTTCAACTTCTGAGGAAACGGTGGATCTAGAAGCTTGGCCATTGTCAGGATAGATCCGCACAGAATTACAGCTGCAAACACGGCTGTGAAACTGGTCAAAAAACAGGAAATTTGCGAGCAGACACGCTATTTACAACTACCAGCTAGACGGACATACTTGTAAAATGTTTATTGGATGAAGGACTTGATACAGACGCGTCAACAGAGGCACGCATTCTTACAATGTCATAAGTCATTAGAATTCCCTTTTGGGGAAAATGTAGGTTTACTTAAGCTGGATGGGCCTCTCGGCGCCATCGGGCAGAGCTGCACAGGACGTCTGAAGCGGCTGCAGGGACAGCACCGCGCGCTGCCTTTTCTGTTTTGGTTTAATACAGGCAAGAGCCAGGGGCAGTCACTGGCTGTAACTCGGTCGCCGGTAGCCGTGTTAGCATCTGCCGCAGGCACACGGGCAACGCAGCGCAGCACGGCACGGCCGGTGCCACCAGGCAACAGGGGTTTCCAACTCACCTCGTGGGATCGTCACTGAATCTATCAGCTTTTCACCAAATTGCTGTTACGCACGCTTGACGTGTGTGAGCACAGATAAGAAACTTAGAGCTGCCGAGAGCACAGCTCCGTGGCTACCAGGAAGGACGTGAACAGATGTTTCCAGAAAGCGACAGACGGAGGAAAAGCAGTGAGATGAGTGACGTGAGGCCAAAGCTGATGATGCCGGGACGAAGGCGCTGCCTCGGGGCGGGCTTGGGAAATGGGACTGAAAGACACGAAGAGGCCAGAGGAGAAGGATTGTTCTATACTTGCATTTTTGTACGTTCTCCACGCGGCTATTAAGCAAATTGTCCATTTGGGTGCATTTTATCATGTACTTTGCATTGTTAGCATACATAATGAATTACTATTTCATAGAGACCAGGATAGCTAAAGCTAGAAAAACTAGCAAAAGTAAGTGAAAATCTCAAACAGTGGCATACCTTTTTTTTTAAAAAAAAAGTTGCTATAAACTAAGTTTGTTCCATGTTTTCCTGCTCCCTCTGCTGCTTCTCTTATTAAATTTCTGTACTTATTTGAAAGAGTTCTAGAGCCCTTCCCTGGCTTACACCTCGGATGGCCGCAGCCAGGTGTCAGGAGCCTCCTCTGGGTCTCCCGCATAGGGAGCAGCGTTCCAGACACCTGAGCCATCGTACACTGCTTTCCCAGACCACAGGCAGGGAGCTGGATGGGAAGCAGGGCAGCAGGGTCCAGCGCCGTAGCCTAGCAGCTAAAGTCTGTCTCACATGAACCGGGATCCCATATGGGTGCCGGTTCTAATCCCAGCAGCCCTGCTTCCCATCCAGCTCCCTGCCTGTGGTCTGGGAAAGCAGTGGAGGACAGCCCAAAGCTTTGGGACCCTGCACCCGCATGGGAGACCCAGAAGAGGCTCCTGGCTTCGGATTGGCTCAGCTCCAGCTGTTGCAGCTGTTTGGGGAGTGAATCAACGGGCGGAAGATCTTCCTCTCTGTATATCTGACTTTACAATAAAAATAAATCTTAAAAAAGAAAGAAAACAACGAAAGTGGAGGCAGCAGGACACAGACCCTCTGTGGAATGTCTGCGTCACAGGCCCCAGTGTAACACTCTGTCACCATAGTGACCCCTCCCTCTGTTCTTGAGTATAACAGGAGATCATGTGATCCAACATCATGGCTTAGTAGGCTAAGATTCTGCCTGTGGCGCCAGCTTCCTACATGGGCACCTGTTCATTTGAATCCCGGCAATTCCACTTCCCATCCAGCTCCCTGCTTGTGGCCTGGGAAAGCAGTCGAGGACGGCCCAAAGCCTTGGGACCCTGCACCTGCGTGGGAGACCCATTGGAGGCTCCTGGCTCCTGGCTCCAGATCAACTAAGTTCTGACTGCTGCCATTTGGGGAGTGAACCAGCAGACTGAGGGTCTCCTTGTGTTTCTCCTTTCAAACAAAATTTTTTAAAAAAAATTCTTAAAAAATGTTTTTAAAAACAAATATTTTCAAGAATGTTTAGAAGAAACTTTAAAAAATGTATTTATTTTTATTGGAAAGGCAGATTTATAAAGAGGAGAGACAAAGATCCTCCAGCTGCTGGATCACGTGGAACTGCGTCTCCCACGCGGGTGCAGGTCCCAAGGCTTTGGCTGTCCTTGACTGCTTTCCCAGGCCGCAAGCAGGGAGCTGGATGGGAAGCGGGGCTGCCGGGATACCGAGCAGTGCCCATATGGGATCCTTGAGTATGCAAGGCAAGGATTTAGCCACTAGGCTATTGCACCGGGCCCTTGGAGAAAACTTTCATAATTGAAAGAAATATCTAAAGGAAAATGATAGGGGCTGGAGCAATGGCTCAACCTGCTAATCTTACACTTCCAAGCTCCGGCATCCCACTTGGGCGCCAGTTCATGTCCCAGCTGCCGTGCTTCCCATCCAACTCCCTGAATGTTTCCTGGGAAAGCTGCGCAGGAAGTCCAAGTGTTTGGGACCCTGCATCATGCTGGAGACTTGGAAGAAGCTCCTGGTTCCTGGCTTCAGATTGGTTCAGCTGTGGCTGTTGCGGCCATTTGAGAAGTGAACCAGTGGATGGAATTTTATTCCGTGTCTCCTCCTTTTGGTAAGTCCGCCTTTCCAATGAAAAGAATTCATTAAAAAAAAAAAAAAAGGAACATGGTAACTATTATCTTGATTTTCAATAGTATAGAATGAAAAATGTTATATATTCATTGACCTTATGCAAAATTGCATTTGTGATATTATCTGTATGTGGTTGTATTTTTCACTTTTATTGCTATATCCCATTATATATTCCGTAGGTTTCCAGTTTGGGACTATTTACAATTCAGAGAATTACCGCTGACAGTGCAATCCCATGAGCGTCCACCAGGTGGAGACAAAGCCCTTCTCAGTGCAAGAGTCTCTGGAAAAATGACGTTTGTGTCTGCACTATGTCCAATTTATGTAATGTAGCAAGCAGGGCAGAATTGTGGGAAAACGAATAAAGTTATCTTTTGTGCTGTTGCTTGCCAACCAAAGAAATTCTTGTCACTTCTCAGGAAAATTCCAGGAATGAATTTAAAAAAATATCATGTGGCTGAAAATATGCCATTCACCCAATTACCTGAAATATTCTCAACTTTTTCTTGAGTCGTTTTTGATAAACCATCTATAAGAAGAGGGTAAGGATTTTCATATACTACAGAGTGGGATATTTTAAAAGAAGGTCACTCCAAGTATTTGTGCAGATAGAAATCACCAGCACAAGAAAATTAAGATACATTGCTCACAGGCCTGATTAAAACAAGAAACGTGCAGATGGAATTGTGTGGTTTAGATTTACTCTTATTTTACGCTGAAGTCTGAAGAACTCGATTGGCAGTTTCCGTTTTTCTTTCTGCCTCTCTCTATCCCCTCCCGGCAGGTGGCCCGCAGTGAGCCCCTCTCCGTCTTGGGCCTTCCGGGGGCTCTGAGGGCAGTGTTTGCACAACACCACAGCCCTCCCAGGTTCCGGGTGGCGGCAGCTGTCGCAGGTGGGCAGAAAGGACCAGTTGGTGACCCTGAGCCAACCGCCTAAG